AGAAAACTTAGGAGGGATTCTTCTAAATTTTGGGCTGTGGGAAAAATTTGGAGGGAAATGTTTGAATTTGAATTTGAAACCTTGCTTAGGCAGTGGTATATGGCTTGGGAAAGTGTATTCTGCATGACTTAGGAAGGGGTAGAGTTTAAGAGAGCTTTTACTTTGAAGTCAAACGAAATCTATTAAAAGGGGAGACCTTACCCTATTGGAAATCAATATTTTTTTTGCAGATCTCAGATAATCAGGAACTAAGTTCCCATTTGGAGTGTCTTTGAGTCCCTGTACAAGCCATTGAAGTTAGGCTTTGTTAGTTTCAACCCATTGTCTTTGTATCACAGTTAAGTTCTCTTTTTTTCTTCTTTTCTTTAGCTATCCCTCTCTCTTTTCTCTCTCATTCCTACATCAATGAAAGCCTAGGAGAGGAGAATAAATTGATTCTACCTTCCCAAGGAAAGTTTTTCTAATCATTCCCAGTAAATTCTTAGTTCAGCTTGAGATGTACAATTACAAATACCAATATACTAGTAACCGTATATTATGGTCGATGAGCTGCAGAGTGACAAAAAAGGATAAGGAATATTGTTAAGACGTAAACCCATTTTTGAGTTTGTGTTATAATTTGAGCAACTCAACGAGCGTTAATATGCATGTGCATGAAAAGTTTCTAGTAGAAGGATGTTTTAGAGTTCCCATATAGAAGAGTCTAGATAGTTGAAGTAGGTGTTAGTAAGGAAATTTCGAGGGTGTTGTTAGAGAAGAATTCTGGAGTGATATAAAGAGTGTCACATTGTGCATTTTAGAGAGAGAAGAGGCTGCTATAAATAAATCCAAGGATCATATGTGAGAGGATAGAGAAATAATAATAAATATCCGTGGTACTTGTGTGACTTTGTAAAAAGACTGCAACTTGTGCGAAATTTCTAAATTAGTCCAAAGTGTTGTAGGAACTTCCTTTTTCTTTTTCTCTATTATACCTCCATTACATTGGTTAAAGACTGCAACTTGTGCGAAAATTTCCAAATTACTCCAAAGTGTTGTAGCAACTTCCTTTTTCTTTTTCTCTATTATACCTCCATTACATTGGTTATCAAAGCTACCTGATAGAGAGATGGCCTTTGCAAGCATCGTGTTTCAGCCACAAGTCCCGCACCTCTCCATGGCATATTATGAGAATTAGAGCATTCAAATGAAGGCTTACCTAAAGTTAAAAGATTGTTCTTCTGGGTTTCATGCTCTTATTTCACAAAGGTTTGATTGCAGTCAACCAATTAAGAAGAAATGGGAAAACCTTAGTTGATGTACGTGTCATGGAAAATTTATTGAGATCTATACTTACAAAATTTGAACACATTGTTGTAGCAATAGAGGAAAGTAAAGTCTATCGGCTATGAATATTAGTCAACTATCTAGATCCCTACATGCTCGGGAGCGAAGAATGTTTCAGTAGACAAACAGTCCTCCCAAGCAAGTGTTCAAGCAAAGCTTTCTCTAAAGGATGAAAGAGAACGTGGATTTAGAGGACAAGGACAAAGAAGTTGTGGTTCTACACACATAGGGGGACGAGATCCCGACAACTTTAATATTGGAAGCAGTAAAGGTGAAGTAAGGCACCCTCATGGGGCAAGGCAGTAGAAATTTCGGCCAGCCCTTCAATTGACAAAGGTATGAAATGCCTAATGTTTGGTATTCAATTGTAAAAAATTTGGGCATTATAGATCTGATTGTAGATTTAAGAATTCAAATGAAGATGTTATTAATTAATGCCATTGGGAACTTTCCTGTAAAGCCAGGGAACCCTATTTAAACTTGCATGATGACCTCATTTTTCAAGTAGATGGAGCTCACTCCTATCATTTTCCTATTGCACTCCCTAGGTTAAGAAACTCAAAAACCTGAGCTCAGGAACTCCATTTCCAAATTGGAGGATCTCGCTCCCCAGTATTATAATTATCGATCCCATCTAATAGAGGAACTAGATCTACAACACACATGGACTGTGTTCCCTATTTTGACGTTGTATGGACATTGTCCCATCTAATAGAGGAACTAGGGATCTTCAAGGTAGCTTCGATCCATCGATCCTACCAGGATCATGGAACCATTCCCGATCTTGCTCTCAACAACTATGGATGTAGTTATATCATGGAGGAAATCCACTGGATGAAACATTCATGAAAACTAAAACAGCTGAGAGTTCCTGGCAAAGGACAAACAAAACATGGTCATGGGCCTTGGTCTATTTTTGCCCAATGACCATTCAACAGTGAAGCTGATGGACAACCTCATTCATAAGAAGGCTTTTTTTTTTTTTGGAAGAGGGGGTGGGGGGGGGGGGTTAAAATGTTAGAAGGAAAGTTTTGGTAATAGATCCAACATAAGAAGGATGTGGATTGGTTGGAGAAGGACAACAAAACCTTTAGAGTCTTGTAGCCTTTTTCTCATATGGGTTATGTGAATAAAGGAGGCACCCTAATTTGAGTGGTAGTTTGGATTGGGCGACGAGGGATGAATGGGAATTTTTGGGCGAAGAGGGCTTAAAGCATATAAGCATGAGTACGGATAAGACTAGCTATGGTTTGCATGCTAGACTTAAGGTGGTTAGTAGAAAAACTCGAGGGCCTGGGTTTTGGAGAGTCATGAGCCTTGACACATTGAAATTGGTTTACAGGTCAACCTTCATTGAGATCAGAGTGAATGCAGTGGTTTTGAGCCAGGAGAATAAGTACACCTGCATGACAGTGTAGAGGCTTGTGAGAGCAAGACCCAAAACCTTGAGATACAACTTGTAGAACATGCATGCATGATAACTACATATTTGGGGGACTTCGGGTGCTCTATGTGTGTTTGTGTTGAGAGTGGATTCCCACACCATTGAGTGATATATATATTTGGGTGAGATGATTTGTCCTTGGTGGACCCCAGAAATCCATAGTAACCTTATACTCCATTTACATGTTGGCTAACTTTGATGGACTAATCATGAGCCCATATAATAGAGACACATAGGTCATGCGCTTTGTTGGTTAAGTTGGGAGGTAGAATGTGAATTCATGGTTACCACATACAAAATACCTTGCAATAAGTAATGTGTCATCCCATACAATGGTCACTCTTTCAAGTTTTTCTTACATCTTTAAGTGCATCATATTGCACTTAGATGAAGATATTAAATATGTTTTACTTCTCTAGAGCCACAAAACTATAGTTTTCTGCTCTCAAAGGAGAGGTGGATTGATGTGGAGTTAATTTTTCCCTCTCCATAGGACCATTTTGATATTAATTTTTTGTCCTCTCCAAATTTAGAGCACTTGAGCAACACGTGGGCTACGTTTGCGGCATATGTGTTCATGACTCACGTGCATCACATGGGCCCCACTGGCAATGGGTCCCACATGAACTGAGCCCCCTTTTCATTTTTTAATTTGTTTGAGAGATGTCATTATTTTTATACAACTAATTCATAAAAGGGTTTGGAGAACCCATATAGTTTTTTAGTTTTCGCTTTTCAAATCTCCATTTAAAATAAAATAATGTAATGAGAATTATCCCATATAATGAGTGTAGTGGAGATGATAATGTTGAGATGGATGAGTGGCAAGCAAGAAGGGATAGAACTCAAAATGAATCCATATGGGAGAATTTAGGTGTGGCTGCAATAGGCGATAAGATGAGAGAGAATAGATTTAGGTGGGCTGGCCATGTGTGGTGCCGACCAAGTACAACACCTATTAGGAGGTGCGAGTTAGTTCAAGTGGAAGAACTGAAAAGGACAATTGGTAGGCCCAAAAGGATGTTGTTGGAAGTAATCCGAAAAGATATGGAGACTTATGGCCTCATTGAGGGTATTGTCTTTAATAGAGCAAAATGACAGATTAGGATTCGTGTAGTCGACCCCAATTAATTGGGAAAAGGCTACGATGATGATGATGATGATGATGATAATGAATTTAATGAGAATTATTTTAAAAAGGGTTGGTCTTTTTGATAAAGGATTGAGCTTCTGGAATGATTTGAATTCTAGAGATAATGGGAAAGCTGGTGTGAATTCTTTTTGAAATAGAAAAGCAATTTTTTCTTTATTTGAAAGATTTTGGGACACGACCAACTAGAGGCAATGGTGTAATTCTCATTCTTATATCATGATGGTTGATCTAAGAATAAAGGGCTTAATTAAAAGCCTCTCTCACCTTAAAAATCTACATAGAAGGCAATGTCATCTCCTCTAAATCCTCACCTGAAAATTTATATAGAGGGTCGTGACCAAATCTCCTACATGATGATAATGTGAGTCTCTTTTGGAGAACACCTGGCTAGATTTCCTTTTTGAGAAGGGTAGAATAGGTCAAGAGCTGTAAGAATTGAAAAGAACTTTGCCCAAGTTATGATGTGCCACTGATCAGGTAAGATGGATGGTGTACAAAGTCCTTGGAGGTAATCCGAGACAACTCTCAAAGTTTGTTTTTACGTTTCTTTCTTGATTTATTTTGAGTTTGTGTTTGGTGTGTGAGAATGCGGTAGCAATCTAGTCTCCGTCATTGTTTTTGTTTTCTTCTGTGATATATTTTCTTTATTTCATGATGGTTGAATGTACATCACAGCACATTTAATGTGGGGGATCTAGGCACATGTAATAAAATTACAAGAAAATTTGTGGAATCTTTACTTTGATCACCCTGCACTTTCTGCTCACAGTCACATGGTCAAGAATTCCAGAATATATTACTTTTGTGGATCTGTTGTGAGGCATGAACTGTTACTCTCTCGTGCCCTCATTTGTGGAACTTTGGTTTTAGTTTCTGCTCTTTTCTCAGACTCTCAGTACATGATCAAGAAGTAAATTTTATATTAAATAGTAAATCATAGTAATTTACTGATTCTATCTTTCAATTATATACTCTCAGTTCAGATGAAAAAAAGTATGTGCTGTTGTTAGTGAAGCATTGAAAAATCCTGTAACATGCTTCTTGATAACCAAATAGCTATTTTGTTCTTGTTTTCAGGGAACTGTAAAAGAATGGAAAAGATGCAACTATGGTATCAATTTTAAAGCAGATGTTACAAGTTCTGTTGTTTATCATTATAATTTGACTATGAGAGGCTACTCAGCTCTCATTTATAGGTACCTGCATATTGCCTTTCCCTGTTTGTGTTATTAATTTGGGAACAAAAGCACAAAAATGTATGTTTTTCATAATCAAAGTTGGAAATTCAAAAATAGCTTCCACATAAGTAGCAGGGGTTGTTACTGATTTTGCTAGGAATTCGATATTCACTGTAATTATTTCTTTTTACTGATAATGTGACAAGAAGTTTGAAATTTTGAAAACGAGGAAATCAAGATAACTAAGGGGATGGATCTTGATAAATAAGGAAAAACTTTGTTTTAGGTAAAGCTTATGTTTTAAGCCCAAATTGTTAAATCTTCTATAAAGCAATCTAAAGATTATTAGTATTATAATTTTCTGAATCCTAGAATGAAATTCAGCAGAAGATTTTTGGTCATGATTATATGCAGTATTCAAAATGCAGATTCGGCTGCCTAGACACAGGGTGCCCTCACCAAAATTGAACTCTCCCCCAAAAAAAAAAAACAAAAAAAAAGTTCTTAGGGCATGGTTTTAAGTGTTAGGGAGTTTTTAGCGCAATTTTAGGGCCCCAAACTTCTCGTGACATAGACGAAAACTTAATCGTACAATCACATAACAGATTTATGGATACAAGTCTCAAAGAGATTGTAACTTGTAAGACATTAAAATGCTTGAATATGATATATGCTCAATTTTATTGTCCAAGTGAGGAAAAATTCAATTAATCACGAAAAATCAATCTTTTAACTCTAAACATATAAATATATAGTAAAAGAAAAAAAAAAAAAAAAAAACATATATGATTCGCAACATAATATATTGTAGGAAAATCAAATCAAAACCTTCTTTCAAATATGATAATACTTTGAAAATAGAAAAATCAAATTGACGTCGGAGCAAACCTCAAAATGTCCTCAAAATCAACTACTAGAAGCTCCAAATCCACCACAAACTATTGCCTTTGTTTTTAGAAAAAAATCAAAAAAATCATAAAGTTATCGACCTTTTGATAAATCTCAAAAAAGTGGTTTTTTAGGAGTTTTTTTTTTGCTCTAAAAGCTACCGTTTTGGTTTTGAGGGTTTATAATATCCTCCAAAACCCTTTTATCCCCTTTGTCAGGGAAAAAATGATTTTTTTTGCCCTTCATTTACCCTAAAACCCATTTCGCCCATATGCAAGACGCATAATGACCCCACCTAGCTTGTTTTTAAAGAAATTGCACTAGGCTGCTGGGCGGGTGAATTTTTGAACACTGATTATATGGTTCGACTTTGGAGATTGTTGTTATTGCAAAACTATTTGGCGAAGTAGCTGTTTTATGTGGTGGCGCCTCAAATACCCATCGTGGAGATGGATTTGATGAGCTGAATCTCCTCCTCCAGGATTGAGGACCTGAATCTCCTTCTAGACGCTTAGAAATCCATTTCTCCTCCCAAATCTTGAAGTTGGAGCTCCTATCATGGTGCAAATTGACATCCGTATTGTTTTCCAAAGTGGACGATTCAGTAAAAAGGATAGCAAATCAACATATTTTTGGGGCTAGAAATATTCCCCTTTTTTCTTTTCTTTTTTTTCTTTTTTCTTTTTTTTTGGCCAGATTCATAATAATGGAGGTGAGGAAGGATGGATATGCAGATTTTCAGGTCCTCAATTGATACATCTGCAAGATGGGATTTTGAGATGCAGCCATTTTCAGGTCCTCATTTGATTTGATTGCTGAACTGCAAAACTCACTTGGGCTCCGCGCTCTTCCAAACAACCACTCTTGGTGGTTATTTTCTTATGGCCGATCCTCTTTCCATCTGAGCGGTGTAGGAGGGTAGACTTTTTAAGAGCCCTCTTCTTAATTCAATTCATTAATAAATGATTCAAGAATGAATTTGACGTCGATCCCCTGTGCATTCTTTTCTCTCTATGATGGGTACGTTGATACGCGTAATTGTAGTTGTGCCAAACCCCACCAATTATGTTTTAACTTGGTGATATTTCAATGTTTTCCAAGGTGCCCCCCCAGGTTTAAGTAGTGTAACTGGCTATACAACAACACATCCTCTTTTACATTTTTGCAGGTGGCTTTGATTGGGTCACATTGGTTTTTGGCTTCCAATATGACATGTATTTGGTTTTGTTTCTTGTCGCTGATGCTTTAATTTGGACTGTTTCAGTGGAGATCATGATAGTGGTGTTCCATTTATTGGTACTCAAGCTTGGATAAGATCTCTTGAGTTCCCGATCATTGATGATTGGAGAGCTTGGTTGGTTGATGGCCAAGTTGCAGGGTAAGCTTCTTCACCATTTCTCCATTCCAATTGATAAATGGGCTTTAGCTATTTGAAAGATACATAAGCTCTCATCTATGCTCTCTGATTCTCTCTCTCTCTCTGTGGCTCATGTTTTTGCAGCTACACCAGGAAGTACGCCAATAATTTGACCTTTGCTACTGTCAAGGTAATACCTTCTACTATTTGCTGCAATCATTTTTGGGTTTACCACACTCTGCAACACATTTATTGTTAGAGAATAAATTACTATCTAGAAGACATTTGTATTATTGATAAAGTATTTGAGAGGTCCTATTGGTTTTCTCCTTTGGACTTTAGATCCAAAGATCAATCAATGATCGTATTACAACTTACCCTAAATTCATGTGTGTTTCCTTTTCCAAATCAAAGTTTGGCAAATACAGTCTCCTGGCCATAGTGCGTAGCCGTCTTTAATGGTTCATGTATAAAGTGTTGCCCCTTAGAAATTTTCTCTCTTTATAATATTAACATTACACAAAAATCAGTGGAAGATGACAGGCGAGAATGGTCGATATGGAATCTGTTACTATAGCCCAGTCCCAATTCACATTTTGATATACATATAACATACCTGGTATATATGATCAAACCGTTTTTCCATGATTGAAGTATTGTATCTTTTGTACATTTTTGAAGTTTAATGTAGAGGCCATCAAGCATGCCAGTGAAGAAACTCTATCGAAGTCTTTATTTTCTTGCACACCTCATTTTGAATGAATTGAAAACATGGGCAAGAGTGGTTATGTCCTCGTATTTCATGTATCAAAATGTTACATAACATTTTGTAAGTTACATGAAGCTTATTTTAGAAAATATAATTTTGTAACACAATTATATGACAGGCTTAAGGGATATTTCAAGAGCATATGGATCTTTGAAATTTTTCCCAAAGTTGTACCGGTTAGGTTTGATCTGAACATTTCAAAAGCATGCTCTGGACTTGATCAGATGAGAGGGATGAGGATTCTATACAGCCATCTGGTGGCCTAGATAACCTAATATTTGACAGTGCAGGAGCAATTCTAGGCCCCTTCACACATAGGAGAGAAATTTCGTAGTTGCTGATCACCAATAAGAATGACGTTGAGTCAATTTGAGCTTGTGCTCCAGCCATATGATCACTTACATAATAAGGTAAGCTTGAGCTCATGTTCCAGCCATATGATCACTTTCAAGAGTACATAATAAGGTAAGCTCGTTTTCATTGCTATATTAAGCTCCACGCAAACCTCACTATTTGGATAAAAGAAATGGAGGTACACCCACCCTGCTTCACGGCTGCCTTCTACTCTTTAGAACTCAAGAACCTTGTTTAGAATCATTTGAGCTTGGAGATTTAGAAAAAGCTCTAGTGGAGTGAATTTTGCAGTTGGTCTCCTCACCTTCAACTGATATACATGGAGCTATCGAAAAAGGAAGTGAATCCTGGAAAGAATGTACAAAAGTTTGAACCGACTTTTTTGTTGAATCTGCACCTTTTCCTGGGTAATTTGGGAGTAAGTTTCTTTTACTTCATCAGACTGTTTTAACATAGCATGATGACCTTATTGTTACGAAAAATCTATTTGTGAATCATTAGCATTGGTGAAATTTCTGAAGCTCCTATCCGCTAAAGTATTAAAATCAGTTATCTGAGTCTATTGTTTGTTGGTGAAACTTTCTCAATGCATAGATAAGCACAGACAGCTAGTTTAAGGTATGAAAGCTACTGATGATGGTCATCCTAGTTTAGGCATTCCTTGATTTAGTTTTATGTCTTCTCTTCTATTTTGTAGTTCACACTTGTGTTCGTTTAGAAATGTGGCTGTGATAGGTTGCGGCCTGAGACTAGTGTAGCTTTTGTTTGAGCACTCCACATTTTAGTTTCCTTGGTTATTTTATATGGTGAGGGTACAAATGTGCTCAACCAAACTACTAGATGTGAGCAAATATTAAGAGCATCCTCTTTGCCCTTAGCATTGCAAAGCACAAGCATGAACTTGAAAGATGTTCGGGGAACATCATGAAGAATCAAAGCTGAGTGATCTTGGATACTTCCTACTCATGAGCTGGCCATTCATGAGCCTATATAGGACATTTACACATGACTAAAATGTTGACAAATTCAAGAGCTGCAGTCTAAAAGAAGTGTTTCCTTTATTTTGGAAAAGATTTAAAATCTACATTTCCAGAACCCTAAGCTCGGAGGTTGAGAGTCCAACTAAGGATCTGTTATATTCAGTGTGAAAGGGAAAATAAATCCCTTCAATTAAACTAAGCTAACAATATAGATCACACAATGTTGAATGCTTACATAGGGGATGGTGAGGATTCCAAGTGAAGTTTTGGGCAATAAATGGGAGTGTAGACCTATGTTACACTTGTGAGCACTTCTGTCCTGCATATGTGTTCTCTTTTTCTTTTTTATGTTATGTTTATGTCCAGCACATTTAAGGATGTAAGGGCAGATTTTTAGGAGATTCAAATGTTATACAAATTACAAATCTGCCCCAGGACATTTTACACTAATGTCCTCAAGTTTGCTGGACATAACACAAGCATGAAACAATACAAATGAATGCTGTAAAGATTGAAGAGATAAGAGAGAAAAAAAATATCTAAGCCCACAATTGGGTAAAATTTAGATGTCTTTCATCCTATTTCAATCATGGGCAATGTGCCCTAAATATACACATGTATCCTTATAAGAGTTATAATATAGGCCAACTATCATTTAAGTTACAACTGTCATTTATAAAGGTTACAGCAGCAAAATCATCTAGATATATAGTACAGATATGGGTTTTCAAAAGTGCAGGGGTTATTGGTCAGTGTGCCTTATCACCATAGGAGATTTCCCTAATGGGCATGAGCCAATAGTTAGTGTTGCAATTTTCCCGAATGGGTGTGAGGCCCATAATATTCGCTATACTCCCCCGAAGCTGGAGCATATATATCGTAGATGCCCAGCTTGCCCAACGTTTCTTTTTGTTGAACTTGATTGGATGGTTTGGTAAGTATGTCTGCTAATTGATTCTTGAAGTGAAGAAATGGAATACGTATCTTCTTTGAAGCAACGTTTTCTCTTGTGAAGTGATAGTAGATCTCAATATGCTTGGTTCTTTAGTGAAATACAGGTTCAAGGCAATAGAAATTGCTGCTTGATTATCACATTGTAAAGAAATAGGAGCTGCTGCATTGACACCCATCTCTTGAAGAAGAAAACAAAGCTAAATTATTTTGCATGTAGTTTTCAATTGTTCGATACTCAGCTTCTGCTAAAGATGAGCTATAAAACTCTTCTTACTCTGTTGGATGACTAAATGACCACCACTATCTTTGAGTAGGCACTGGTAGACCGTTGATCAAGAGAGCACCCAGCCAATCTGCATCACAAAAGCCGTGTATATCAAGGTGAAGTGACTGGTATAAAGTAGTCCTCTCCCTAGAGCTGATTTAAAAAATTATAACATGCGATAAACAACCTCCAAGTGATGGGAGCATGGTGATTGCATAAACTGACTCAACACTCCTACAGCATCTACAACATCTGCCTGTTAGACAATCAAAGAGATAAGTCTGCCTAATCTCTAATGTACAGCAAGGTTATTTAGATGCTCTGATTGTTGCTCATACGGTTTGTGATTAACCTCTATGGGATATCTGCAGGTTTCGCTCTGAGCATTCCTGTGTCATACAGTTTGTGATTAACCACGTATACTACCAGTATTATGGTTGAACAAGAATCACTTTTAACATACAAGGTGATAAAAAGCACTTCTTTGAAATCTGAATAGGCATATTAATGTACTAAATCATGGTTGTTGGAAACGATTCTGAATCTGAATAGTGGAATTGCATCCAGATAGAAGATTCCTGTTTTTGTAGTCGACATTTGAAAGTTGGACTATGTAACCCAGGGTAAGCGTATACCAATTAAACGTTTCCTATCTTTTATTTATTTTCACCCCCCGGATTACTTATAGATGTCCAGATACATAATGAGAAACATTAAAAACACAAAGAATCATGAAGCACATAATACTTTTATCACACAAGTAAAATTGCATAAACTTGATCTTGGGATCATGAAGCACATAATACTCATGGGAATAATGATCACAAGAAAGCATGAAAGGAAGACACCGGAGATTACTTTAATCGGGCTGCAGGTGATCAATGATATATCTTGGATCTACCAAGTATAGGAAAGATTAAGGCTCAACCCTTAATTATGAGAATGTGGAACAATTAATTGCATAAGGATTCAATGCCTTCACTAACTAAGTGGGGCATGTCCCTCTTAATGCCTAAGTGGGGTATTCCCCTCTTAATGCCTTAGTGGGGTGTGATTCCCTTCTAACCCCCTTTAGAGATCTTGAGATGAGAGAGGAGAGAGATGAAAACCTAAGGGTGGCGTGCCACCCTTTTAGAGAGTAGAGAGAGATGAGATTTATGGTGTAGAGAATTATGTTAGAGGAGGCCCTTATTTATAAATTTTTCATGGGCTAGGGTTTCCTTAGGGTTAGCCATCCTTAGTGAAATTTGATCCAGACCATTGATCATAGGAGACTTGTGGGGTGAGAAATATGAGTCATTCATTCCTTAGATCAACTATCATGATTAAAAGGAATGTGTTAGAACCTTATTCTCCATCATCTTAAATCTAATCTTATCAAATATTGTAATATGGAAAATTTTCTCAATTTGACTATATTTTTCCATAATCTTCTTACACAATATTATGATTGAAATCCATCTTCCTTAAATTTCAAATGACATCAAAATATTTCATCTTGATTTGCAAGCCATTTTAGCTTGGCCAACTTTTAGTAAGGGTTGCCTTGAGTGGGGTGTGTCACCCTTGGTGGTTTTCATGTAGTCCCCACTTCAATCAAGTCATATGCAATTTTTATGGTAAGAGGGTGTTTCTTATTGAGGCGTACCACCCTTCGGTGGCCACAAATGGGCCGCACTCAATCCACCATGCGATATAATTAATGGTGGGCCCCCATATGATTAGTGAATTATAAAATTCATATTTTGATTTTTAGATATATGAAAATAAACTTTATTTTCTTTTGAATATTTAAATATTGAAAAATGATTATCTCTAGATTTATAAATTCAATTTGTAAAATAAAATATTCAGAGATTCAAAAAAATTCAAATAATCAATCTAAAAATTATATATTATCAAAATAATTAAAACCAAATAATTTTGATGGGAATCAAATTCGACAAGGTCTAGGAATTATAAAATTGCCGAAGCACTCCACCTTCTACTGTGGACTATAATCCATACTTGCTTTCTCAAACTAACCAAGCGGTTCCCATGACCCGCAGACCACTGTAGGGTTTCATGATTGGGCCACAAAAGTTTGCCAATAGGCAAGAAGACACAATCTCAGTCTATGGACTAGAGGTTTTCCCCTAGAGACAAACCAAGGTTACTAAACCGGATGCAACTACATCTCTACGATGCATAGGATAATCTCTTGTACATGTACACACTTCACACTAAACGGTGGTTTACTTTCTCGATACGGCTATCATATGTACAATGTCGTGTGATGGTTCAGTGGTGAGGCTATGGCTCTCGTCTCTAAAGGCAAACCGTCACACACAAGGGTAACACAGTCCCTCGGCTCACCCATCTGGGCAACTTCGACCTCATCAAGGGATGAACCACAAAACCCTCATTGGTTTAGTTTTATACCAGGTAACATGAGTTTTCCAACTCGACTGGTTGAGCACGTCAAGCCAAGTCTGAGCATCGACAATAACATTTGTCTAGTATGGTTCACTAAGGACCATATGAGTTTAATCAAGATATTACTTACAAGCTCTCATAAGGCCTTTAATTGCCACAAAAATCCAACATCTCTCACTTGGCCTTTGAAGGCCTTACAATTTCTCTTCCTCATATTTTCGTCCCCCAATTGCAATCTCTCTCAAGCATTTTTCACTTCTTCTCTCTCATTACATTAACCCTGACGAACTTTTTCGTCATAAATCCTTTCACAAAGGATTTATGGATGCAACTTCTGAGCGAATCATGAAGCCTATTTCTCTTTGCTGCTTGAATCACATCTCGAACGTGGTCATAGTCCATCTTTTTATGTCGCATCGTGAATCCAGACTCGTTGTCACTGAAGATCATTACGTACCGTCGTTGCATGGGGTCGTATCTCAGCAGATTAAGGGAGTTCTTTAATAAAGCTGCTCCCTTTTGTAGCCATACAACCAACACCACATATCTAAATTCTATGGGTGAACAACATTTTTCAGCTGGTCTGCCAACACAACCAGGTATTGCCATTGGAATGTTAAGCTATCCGGAGCTCTCATAACAGGATACTTGCATTTATGAATATCCAAGTATCTAAAAATAATCGTGGGATTGTTAACAGCTCCCTCTCAAACATAACATGTAAAAAAAAATATTATTTCAACATTCTCATGCATGTATCATGTGGTAATAGATCAAGTCTCATACCAAATAGTAACTCAATGCCCATTTGGTTTAGCAAAATGTAAAAACCATTTTTCCGAACCACAACGATTCAACCACACTAGTCTCTTGGTTGTATATCCATATAAACCAAGTTATCTTATCAACCCAACATGTGTCATGAAAGCCTAGCAAGATGGCCATCCTTTAAGATACCCCATGGTTCACGATCTTAGTTAATCGAGGATTCTAAAGAATTCAAAAAACAGGTCACATAATTGGTACTATGATACATGAGTCAAGACATATGGGTATTTAAAAACCGTTCATAGATAAATGATACTTTCTCACACGTACATGAAATACTTTCCAGACCGAATGCTTTTCCTTATATAAAAAACTCTTGACTTGGAATATTTTCACAGGCAATATTTAGAAAAAAAAAACATGGTGGTTTAAATTAATTTTTCATAAATACTTAGTGGACCAAGCAAGACTGTGGGGTTTTCTCAAAGTCGTATCCATGGACCTTGGTTTTTCAACATAAAAGGTTCAATCCAATTTCTAAAAGAACATATTTATCCTTTAAAATTTTTACCACATACACTTTTATTACTTACCAAGTCGTGTTATAGCCACAAAACAAAATATAAAAGCCATCTATGAACTTAGCTAAAATGAAACACAACTAAAAAGGTGTTTATGCAAAACTGACAAATATTTGAAGTCTTTAACATGAGATCATCATCAGATGCAACATACCATTATCGTCGGACATTATCGAGAGGATGGTCACCAAGACCATGTTCCATTGGAACACTCCGTTCGTGTTACATATTTGAATGAGCCATATTCATCTTTCGTGTTTGATATTTAGGTCCATAGACCTTGATCAACCCACATCTCCATATGTTTTATTACCTCGAGTAGTTCAAACACGAGCACAAGGAGGCAGAAAAACATAGGGTATTAAAAAACTGGCTCTTTCAAATATGTTAGCACCTATCAACTAATGTCTATATACTCCATACATATTCATAAACAAATAGCCAAGATATAATCAAAGATGTATAAAGGAGATAAAAAATGTTGAATCCTCTTTCCCTATATGACCTGACCATGCAAAACAAGTGGATAGATTTTAGACCTTAAAACTATGTCGTGTGGTACTTGAACTTTCTTGATCATTGCTTTTGTTTGCTAATGAACTTCTTATGATCTTAGAAGAGCATACAACTGATGGAAAATCTCTTGATCATTGGTTTTACATATCAACGAAGTGTCCATCTCTTCAACCCATGGCTTCTCCCTTTCTTATACCATGAAGAAATACTCTTCTTCATCCTATCATTCAAAAAATCACAATTTTGATTCTTCCATTGATCTTTTAGAATTTCTATGCTGCCCCCAAGTCCTTTTTATACATCCCTTCATTATGAAGAGAAACCAAGATTCTTTTACATATATTATGTTTCTTCTATTTTATGCAGTTCCTTCCCAGATTTAGCACCCTACACCTAGAGTGTCATATCTCCCCAACATTGTATTACCTCTCTCTGAAGTTCTAATTGTTATAAATCATACTCATGGCACACTATAAAGCTTTGAATGAGCCTGAAAAATGCTTCCATTATAAGGAGTACAAAGATGTGCCTTCATATGTCACATCTTTTGCTGTACTGTAGAATAGAAGATTAACATCCCATGATAAAATTATGATATCTTTTTAACTCACAAAGAGTTTATCCTTAGAACTTTTGAGTATAGAAATAGACTCAATTTCAAATCAATACTTAGTTCCATCCCCAAATCACGCCATTTAGTGAGTTTATCAATTAGTGACTTACACATCACAATATAGTTTTTACACCAAAAAAAAAGGTTGCGCACCTCTCAATAAAATAATTATTTCTTTCAATCCTCAGAATTTCTTCTTGAAATCCTTTATGTTGAAAACTAGACTCAAAACCAAAGCATAACATCATGATGTGAATCCCAAATACTTTCTTTAGAGAAATAAATAAGTGACATTCACATCACAAAATATGTTATATTACAGAATTCCAAGATGAACACTATCCAGTAAAATTGCATTTTCTCTCTATGCACATGGAGTTTCCTTTTCAAAGTTGTTTTTGTTGTAAAGTGGACACAAAATGGCAACAAACATCTTTTTGCAGGCCTCATATCACTCTATTTAGTAGGCTTGACAAATATAGATATTCACATCTCAATGAAACACATCTACCTGTATAAATTCAGGACGACCCTTCTCCAATAATTTTTTTTTTTGTTATTTCCTTTGGATTTTTTTCTTTCAGATAATTTTTGTTTGAAACTAGACTCAAAACGGAAACTTGAAACTCAGTGTGGCCCTTAGATCATTCTGTTAATAATGAAAATAAAATCTTGACATTCATGCCACAAAGACAGTTTTTCATTGCAGAAAATAACACTTGCGTACCCT